CTGCTAATTAGGTGAAGAATTTGAGGCATATGAGAGTACAAAGAGCAGTGTTAAGAAAGAACAATTTTGGACAGTATCTTCAAGTGTCTTACTAACTGCAAAGAATGAGGGTTTGAAAAACAAACCACAAAAATACATGTCAAAAAATAACTTTTTGATGACCAAAATGACACCATAGTACAGAAAGTTATTTGTATAGATAGGAAGCTAAACTATGATTTGACCTACTTTAGAATAAGGGGTTGTGTTTGTTTTTCTTTTTTTTCAGAAGGAAGAACATCTCTCTCTTGGTTTCAGCTGAGAAAATTTTCTTCCCAGTATTTGGTACCATGATATGGTTTGGATTTAGTGTGAGAATACTGTTGATAGCACACAGATGTTTCAGTTTTTGCTAAGTACTCCCAATCTTAAGCTAAGAACTTTTCAGTTTCTGATGTTCAACTAGAAAGCAGATGCACAAGAAGCTGGGAGGGAGCGTGGCCAGGACAGCTGACCCAAACTATCTAAAGAGATATTCTGTACCACTGAATGTCACATTTAGTGTATAAACTGGGGGAAGTTGGCTGGGAGGGGCTGATCGCTGCTCAAGGACTGGCTGGACATTGGTCAGCAGGCAGTGACCAATTGTATTGTGCACCACTTGTCTTTTCTTGGGTTTTATTTACCTCTCTTTTTGCTACATTAATTTTCTTCATCATCATCATTATTGTTGTCATTAAACTGTTCTCATCTCGGTTCACAAGTTTCAGGTTTTTTTCCAATTCTCCTTCCTATCCCACTGTGGGTGTAGGAGCAGCTGTCTGGTGCTTAGTTGCCAGCTGGGGTTAAAGCACATCAGTCCCCTACACCGTATCTCTGCTAGCATAACTGATGGGGGATTTTGGGAGCAGACAGTACATGGATAAGGAACATGAGACAGTAGTGACAAGTCAGATCCACTGCTGACCAAGTCACTGCCCGAGTCTAGATTGCAAAGAGATACAATAACAAAATGCAGCTATGTGGCTTCGAGCAAGACCTTAAAAACCATGTAATTCTCCAGAACTGTGGAGAACGTAGATTCCATATCAGCAGAGGATCACAGAAGCAAAACAGAGAGCATTGTCATTTTCTTGGGGCCCCACAACCCCACTCACCTTGGAAGCATTCCAGCTCTGGGGTCTGTGAGCCTGTGCTGCTAGACTCTTCCATTTCTTGTCTCCGCTGCTGCACTATTCCATCCAGATCAGAATAGTCTTCATTGAAATCCTGATGGGGAGAAAATCACAAGAAAGCTCAGCCCTGTTCTAAATACAAACCTTATTTCCTCTCTTTCCAGCAATGACAGACTTAAAAGTGTTTAACCAAGAACAATCTCTGATATGAATATGTTGACAATCAAGTTAGCAAAATAAGTCCTGTACGACCACCACAATTCAAGCCTCATCTCCTGCCTTCATTTAAGTGATTAAGTCTGTGTGCAATAAAAGACTGTTAAGATAGACAAAATGAAAAGTACAGATGTCATGATTTCCTCCAGTTTCTTTCATTCAGCCATTATAAGTAGCACTTTCAACAAAAAGTACCATGCCAAAAAAAACCCGAAACATTCATGACATTTACCAAGGGCAGAGTTGAGGGACGATCAGCTCTGAAGCTGCTTTCTGCAGAAGAGGGATTTGGACTGTTGCCTATGCTTATATCCTAAAAGAAATCAGCAGTGTTATCAAGGAACACAGTTAGAAATGACTTAGTATTTAAAAGCAAAAAGCAGTAATAATGAACACAAAGCTACACAACATCTTCACTCCCGTTAGTACTTACCTCAAGATGTCTACAGATAGATTTTAATAGCTTGTATGTGGTATCTCTGGAGAGTAAGGAGACAAACATGTACTGAAAAACAAAAGTTCCAAAACTGTTGGAGAAAACACAAATAGTACAAGCTTCCTTTTATGTAAATAAAACTGACAGCTGGTTTTGCTTGTCAGGTAACCATTTTCAAGAGCTTTTGTATAGCAGGAAAAACCTTCACTGAGGTTTACCTGAGGTAAACCACAAGGAACACAGAACAGACACATAAAAATCCTCATGCCGTGCTGCATTCTGAACCTGAGCACAACTCACATTTGTTCTTTTTTTTTTTTTTAAATGGACTTTGCATACTCTGTTTTACCTACCTCTTGAAAAAAACCAAAAATCAACAACCACTACCATGAACACAGCTCAATTTTTGTATGGTCTCCTGCATCCACAAAATATTTGTGCAATGAAAATAAGTTCGTACTAAAGCTGCTCTGAGGATAATCACATTCTCTACTGATTGATGCAGTTATCATATTACTGCCAATAAGTAGGGAGGAAAAAAATAAAAGTAGAAAAAAATGAAAAAGGAAGCACGAAGAGTGCAAAAGCTTCACTCTCTACCAGTACTTACCCTATCTGTGACTGTTGCTATGATCAGAGCATTTGGCACAAGAAGGGCAGTTTTAGTTTTCTTCAACAGTGTCACCGAGAGCACAGGTATACTAATCTGAAACAAGATCAATGTAGTGTTAGTCCCAATACATGCATAAAAATCTTCATGCTCTTTCACAAGGAGCCAGCCTACCAACCGTGATAAACCAGATCTTCAATGCCATTAATTTAAAGATTTCTCCCCCATGTCCCTGATCATTAATATTACATATGGAAGAGGTACGGTTCCAGATGCTTACAATTTCTTAACTGTTTTTACTTCTCCTTTTATCACATGTCATTTAAATCTTTTGTTTGTATTTTCCTTTCCTGATGCATTCTGGCTCTTTTGAGACTACAGGCTTAGTTCACTGTAGAAAAATCAGCCTTAAACCTAGGCTTCTTTGTTTAGAAACACTTCAGAACACAATAGATGAGAGGCTTGCTGAAGAATGAACATTAAAGTCTTCTCCCCACTTGCAGATCCTTCTGTCTGAAATTAGCAGCTGAGTAAACAGCTCATCCTTCAGTGATGTTGAAAGATCCAATAGCCACACACCCACTGACTGACTTAAAGTGATTCCTGTGTATGCCATCCAGACTGTCTACATTTACATTGAAAAGCTCTCAATTTTCCCTCCTGCTTTGTGTTTATTAGCCTAATGCCTAACCCATTAGCCTAATGCCTGCTAAGTTTCAGAGTATTTAACTTCAGATGTACTGTACAGGCTCTTCTTGTAAATCTTGCATTACAAATTACCAAATACCTGGTTTGACTTTCATCTGAAAGGCCTAGAGTTTAGCAACTTAGGCAAATATAATAGTCTTGGATACACAAGACTGAGGTATAGCTGCTGTTAAAAATTCCTTTGGCATATTACCACAACTACCTGAGAAAACTGGAAGCAAGATTAAAAGTGTCCAAAGAATGTTCAACAAGTGATCACAGCACTGAATTAAAAACACATGTCAGTGCAGAAGGAGAAAGAAACTACTCTATGCACAGCTTCATAAAATCTTGTTAACTTTTGTTCAGAACGGCAATACAAAGTCATGAAATGAAGAATTGTTCCAGATAAAAAAATTGTATCTGCTACATTACTAAGGGCTAGAGACTTGCTCTTTACTTAGTAATTAGTTTTGTTTTAAAAGTGTGATAGCAGAAAAAAAATAAAATACAAAGACAAAACATATAATTTTAATTATTGTTAATCCCAGGCCTGGGTCTAAACACCTGTAAATCTCATCATCATTTGTTCTATTGATTTCTAAACATGTTAACTTTATTTGTACAGAGTTTATGAAGTCATGTCTTTTTTAAATAGGTAATTAAACAGATCCTTCACTATACCCTTCCATCTTCAGATGAACATTGTATTGTTCCATAAAGTCCTTGCAACATTTTTTATAACAGCTATTTCTGAGAGTAGGGGAAGAGAGCAGCTATGACGTGTGTTTGACATGAAAAAAAAAATCTGCAGGTAGATTGAATAGAATCTGCATAACTTAAACAAATAAAATAAACCAACAAAACAAAACCAGAATATTTTCTCAGCAGAACTCATGCTAATAACAATGACAAAGAAAAGCAGCTTAGAAGTTTTCTAATTGCTTCAGTTCATCTCCAAGAACTTTAAGTCAGAGTTGTTAACGGCATTCTACTGCATGCTGTTTTGATGGGCAACACTACTGTAATCAAGACTAAAGCGTACTTAAGTGGGATTAAGTCCTTGCTTACTGTACTGTTACCCCAGTAGTAAATCAAAATGGTAAAATCACTGCAAAGTACTCTACTTTTATCTGGATTAATAATTATTTCAGGAACAAAAGTTTACCTGCAGGCAACTAGGAAAGCAAAAATGCATAAAATAATCCTTAGCCCTAGGGAAGACTCAAGTCCAGTACGTACAGCCAAACCAGAACTACCTGGAAAGACAGTGATGTCTTTCAAAGCCTACTGAAGCCTGCAGAAGAGATCTTTTATTTTTGAACATGTACAGTGTTTACACAGCAGATTTAAGCCTGACTTGCATGGCTTTTTCCTCCATCAAAGCTCTCAATAAAAAAAAAATTCTGCAGGTAGAAGAATTCATGTTGAAACAATTTATTAGAACATGTAGATGCAGACCCGCTGTTTCTCACAATACACTTTCTCACTAAGCTTGAATTCTTTTACAAGTGTTAAGCAATGAAGGTTTTGTGTCTTAGAAACTTTGTCAGTGTATGTGACTGCTAAGAATGTTCCTTTTCCCATCAAGACTGATTTCCCCCTCCCCCTTCCATTACATTACTTTTCATTACACTCATGTTTTTCCTGCTTTTTTAATGGTAGTCCTAAAACCTGGTGCTTGCTGTATGTGACTGAACAAAGCTTTAAGTGTGTGTTGCAGGAAGACAGAGGAAGACAGCTGGAAGTAAATGATCAGGCCTATCTTCTTCACTCTTAGTTTTCCTCACCGTATTTTCTGAAAGCAATGATCCAGGATAATATGGAATATCATAATAGTCACATTTAAAAATGCTGTCTACTCTACTCTACCTTTTAATACATTTTCCCTTTTCATGGTACATATAAATATGTATCTACCACTGCACTTAAACCACTGCTGACAAAGATAATTTCCTAGTACTGTATCATTATAATTCTGAAACTTTTTTTTGACGTTTTCCTAATCTATTAGGTAGAGTTCTACTAGATTATTGTATATGTTTAGCTTAGTTGGAATTTAGAAAGCTGCCTCCCAGTTTGAAGTAATCACATTTGTTTGTATTGAACAGGAGACTGCTAGTACAGCAGCTTCAATTATAAAGAAATTAATTCTTAAAACAGCTGTTACTAATTATGAATGACAGTATCCAACAATTTATTAATTCTCATTTCCTCTTTTGTGTCACAAGGCTTTCATCAACATACACTATCTGCATTAACTTACTGAATCTGTTAACTGGAAATCAACAACTCAGTTTCTTGGGCCAAGCAGTAAAATCAAATAACCCATAAGGTCACTATAAACAACATATGGTTAATAATTTTAGCATTCTTTAAACCTACGACACCTTCTTAAAAGCTCTTTCAAAGATAGGTGGTGTTCCATCAGAACGGTTTACAGCAGAGGAAAGCGATATTGTCAACTCCTAAACTGGTTTCAGCACGCAATTCACTGACAAAACATCTGGATATAACCAGGAACCTTTTTCAAGGAAGTATTTGAGACAGAAGTGGAAGAAATTCTTATAGTAAATCAAACTGTTTGCCAATAAAGCTCAAAACCAAAGCAGAATTTATGTAAACAAAGTAAACCTCTCCAACAGCTCCAAATGAACAGAATCACAACACAAATCTTTTTTGAAAGTGTGGTGTTTTTGGTTTGTTTTCTTCAATCTGTGTGCATATCACTAACCACAGGCCCAAGCCTTAAGTGCGTCATATCTGCACCAGGAAAGATGGTAAACGATGCTCTTGCACATTAGGGTCTTCCAGACTGTTCATGTCCTCATTTCTGCTCTTCATATTAGGCTCACAAGTAAACACCTAGCAAACTGTTTTTTCTTTCCCTGTACTCTTTTTATGCAGGACCGCTAGGAGACTCTCTCAAAGACCTTTGCAACTGAACTGAGAAGCCAATTTTAGTTCTTCCTCAATTGTCTTAATATGCTTGATCCTTCTCTCCAGTTCCTCAACTACAGTCTTGTAGTCTTTATAGTTTTCAGCCTTCCTTCATCCTCATCCCCCTCCTCTTCTGGATACTTACCCAAAGAGAGACATTTTTATAAAGTTTGTGCTACATGTGCTTGGCAAAGCCCTCACTGCTACATGCAAGATCACTCAATCTTTAATAATTGTGCTCCAGTTGTAGAGTGACTTTTGGACATTCAGTTCTAAACAGTAATTGTATTCAATAATACTTAGAAGTATTAATAGTATTCTAGCCTTGCATAATAATGTGATGATGAAAAAATTGGTAAGGAATAGCATTAGTATTCTGTACATAAAGATTTTACTAACCTTAGTGTCTTTACCAAAAACCTTGGAATGGAAGCAAATCCAGTTTTCAGAAAGGAATAACTTCCCTTGGTACAGAATTTCTTTCTGCAGAGCACAGGTAAAGCCTGAAACAAATAGAAGCTCTATCATTTCAAGGCAGCCACAACGCAAGTCAACTGTTACCAGTTTAGCTTTTCTTTTGCTCTTTTTTTCAAAGCTGAAACATGTTTAGTTTCATATCTTTTAATAAACATTGGCAAACCTTGAAATACTCAATAATTTTAACTAATATGGACAAGCTCAGAAGATTTCAGAGGTCTAAGCTCAGATTCAAAATATTTGAAGGACAAAGACCTTCTGGGAGCCAGCCGCATAACATGCAACTGGCTCCCAGAAGCCAAGAATCCTTTCTGAGAGAGTACCACCTAGTTTCCTACAAACTTTTTGATGAACTTACAGGTAACCATATTACATAAAGAGCTTAATGAAAGGTTTCAGCTTTAAACTTTTAGCTCTATAGCAGTTGTCTAGACTAGATGATCAGTAGAGGCACATCACACATAAAGTAATACCGCTTTTACTTCCAGCCACTGAGCAAGTCATTTCTTGCTCATGAACTGCTTTCATTGTATTCCTCTCAAGAAACATTTGTTCTACATATCTATGTAGAATTCACTTGTTCTAACTACTGGAGAGAAGAGTAGGATCTTTAAACATTCTAAATCATTATCGCACAGTGTTCTTCAACTTTAAAATAACACCAACAGCAAGAACTCAAGCTAGTCACTTGATCAGTACTGTCTCAAGCACCAAAAATACTGCACTAGAATACTCTGCTAAGAAGTGCAAAGTGGGCTACAATTCCTGAAGATGCCCAACACCTGAAGACTCAAGTTTTGCAAGATTACAGCAAAAAAAAACCAACCAACCAAAAACCACTGCATGCAGACAAAAAGACGTTGTAACTCTAGGCAGTTGGAATTTAATGTTTTTACAATTTGAGTAGTCCTTGTACATCACCACAGTTGGCAGGTAACATTACCTTAGATCCACAGCCAGCAATGACAAGGGAATTAATACTTACTTTGTTTCAGTGGCTCATCAATGGGAACATCTAGAAACAGCTTATGAAAGTGTGCATTTGCCTTCAGCTAAAAAACAAAAAGCCCCACACCCAGAGACATACACCTTATTAGATGGTCTTACAATCAACTGACCCATTCCACCTCCTGCCCTCCCAATACCTTCTCTTTTTCCCCACTTGTTTTACAAAAACACCCTCATTTTTGCTATGTGGCTACCAAGTCTATATCCTGCTTTACCCAGACTCTCACACACTCATGAAAAAAGAACCTATGTCCTTATACAACCATGAACTATAATATTGCTAAGGAGGCTCTCATGGTATTACGTATTTACTCTTACCACATATAAACAAACGAGTCTAAACCCTACCTGATTTGAGGCACGTTTTTTCCGTTCAATCTTGGAGTCACTCTTAAGATCCATTGCCAGGAGTGGACTATCTGTGCTGCTCTTTGTCCTGAAGATTAAAAAAGGCCCCACTTAAGCTTGGCCTCAATTCATTAGTCTTGGTAAGTTATCAACAGGAAGTACTCTTCCATGAAACATATTAATCCTTTAATACCTATTACCTGATTCATCAAGAAATATGCAGAAATAAGGAGGAGTGTATCTTTTTCTTAAACCATGCCAGCCCTCACAGAAGTCATGTTTTCATTTAGAAGGAATATTATAAATCACTAGTTATAAGGAAGTAAAAAACATACAATACATTTTTACAACTTACTGAATTATCACAGTGTTTAGTTCCATGTTTATTTGTTTTGGCAACATGTGAAATACTAAACATGTCACTAAGACAAGATAAAGATCAAATTTAGTAGCTGAGAGTGAAAGGCAGTGCACTGAAAGCTATGAAATTGTACTACAAAATGTGAATTGGACATTGTTAACCAGAAAGTGAAACAGAGAAGAAATGTAGGTGCACAAGTCAGAGGATGGCTATGGACTGCGTAGTGTAATGAAATCATTAAGACCGCCAGTAGTCCTAGAGGAGATGAAAAGGAATTGTGAATGCCAGCTGTATAGGAAGCTGTACCTGTACAGCTCCAGCCATCCATATTGGAACAGAAAACCAACCAAAAACCCAACAACTGTAGAGCAGAACAAGTACAGTGGAATGTCTCTGTGGATGCCTGGGAAACTAAGTTTTGTTTGTTTTACACAGAAGAAATTAATAGCATGGACTGTTCAGAAAAACAGTAACAGAAGTCAGATACTAGCATTTCATAAGTCAGGAAGAGAAGAATATTATCCTTGAGAGCTATTTAGCACACAACAAAAGCCTATCTACAGACTATAAAAATAAGGTAGCTCTTCTTTAGAGGCCTTCAGATGCACACTGAGGAGCAGAAGGAAAAACACCACACAGGACACCTACATGGAATGACTGGAAGAACATAAACTCAAGATTATATGGGGAAGTAAAGGTGCTACAAAAGTTTCCATTACCGCACTTCATCCTACACAGTAAATCTTTACTTTCCTAAACTTGAGAGGTTCAGGATTTCCAGTAGAAACTGTAAGCTGAGAAGAAGAGAACACTCAGATGTAATGTAGATATAGCTGGATTTAAGAAAGGAGTTGTACAACATGACTGATTTAGATAGCAGGGTGGACTGGCTGCATATCTCAAGTAGTTCCCTTACAGCAGAAAACTCTAAAATACAGATTTACATGTATCTGTAAGCCTATGTAAAGTACAGGTCAAACTGAACAGTGATCTTTACAAAAAACACTTATGTCAATCCCTCACCAGCACACAGTCAATTACATTGTATGTGAGAGGTAAGACTGGATGGAGAGTTTGGAGCGTAAAAAAAACAAACACAAACCCCCCCATAATCATATATTTCTTCCAATAGCTTCTCCTCAAAGATGCTTCAGGAAATGAAATGATGTTTTTTAAACATCTGCCTTGTGATCAAAAGCATAGTGTCAGGTCGACTACTGACTTGTTCGCTGGCTGCTCAGCTGATGAAGTGAAAGGGATCCAAAATACGTATTCAAGCCCTCCAAATGAGATTTTATTACTTCTTGTAGTGGGTAACAGAGCAAGAACTGGAAGATGGCTCTGATTACTGTTTACCTGCATACTGTGCAAGCTAACCCACAACTAGCAAGGCTGATAAGTCTTGCTGCTCAGTGTAGCTTCTCAAATAGTTTGCAACCATTCTGATTATTGGACCAGAAGAAAACTGACAGCATTTCTGACATTACCTAGCAACATCAACTTTTCTCCGGTCATCAAAATACTCCATTTCAGTGGTAGGAGTCTGCAGCAACACAGTAGGTGATTTTCCTGCCCTTCTTTTTTCATCTGTACCAACTTCTCCATCTGAACTGCAGAGAGAAAAAAAAATAAAAAGAGAGAGACAGAAATTTGTATTGCAGGATTCATACCAATGTCAAACGCCATCACAGCATGTTGACAATACAGCACATATTAGAGAACAGAATTATGACATAACTTCTATACTAAAGTCCTGAAAAGTCTTCAGCTACTTACTGGACAGCATTCTGAAGAGCATTCTGAGCTCCAGTACTGGAATTTCAGCACTGAGGAGAGGAAAACTGAAATACTGCCATGGATATTTCAGTGCTCGTAAAACTTGTAGCTCTAGCTTCCCTTCCAAAGATATTGTCTTGTTTAAGAAAAATGCATTCCATATTCAGTACTCAGACTCGATGACTAATGGAAATTTGACTGGCAAGTTGGGAGAAAAACATCCTGCATGACAGCACCTAGTGCTTACAGGATTATCTGTGGCTCAATGCTGCGAGAGGAAGCTGGGCTCTATTTTGCCTCTAATCTACCTCTCTGTGAGAGTCCTCCTGATGGATTTACACAACAAAGGGTCCTCTCAAAGTATTAAAAACACTGGTTTTATTTTACAAAAGCAGCACTGCCAACATAATGAATTGCCTTTCCACAGGATATGACACTGCTTCAGGAACACTTTCAGGCACTAGAATCTGATGGCTAAGGGATGAGCCATCAGAATCTTTCCCTGGCTTCCCTTTTTAAAATTTTCTAATAAAATGTTAACTCTGAAAATTTAGAGAGAAGAAGGTGTCACTGATAGCAGGTTCTGAAGAATGATAGTACTTTAAAAGACATGACGAATACACACACCTTCTTTCAGAAGATTAAAGCCTCAGAAAGACTACAGGATGCTCTTAGCATTAAATTAAGAAAGCTAAACTACGTTGCCCATGAATGGCTGGCCTGAATTTTCCCATTTACAGAAGATTTCCATTATGTTTAATTTCTGAAACTTTTTGTCAACAATGCAGCCACTGCCATCATGTGACAGCGTCTTTACAAGACAGAAGTTTTGCTGGCAGAAGTTTCTAGACTAATTTAATGTTTCTCATTTGAGGAAGGGCATAAAAAGACTCATTGCTTTGATTACACTTTGACAAATAAGATCAGAAGACACACCTCACAACATCTTAATTGAGATCTAATGAGGTGGTATCCTACCTTGCAGCTAAACCAAAGCTTATGTTACAGGACAAAAGTCACATCAAGTTTTCCCCTACTCGTGCTTTGACTTTTCACACGATCTTCTGATTATAGACAGCAACTATTCCCCTATCTAATCCTTCCTCAACCTTAGCACATCCCACCACAGGGGCACTGAACTGACACCTCCTAAGTCATACCTTGCATATACTTGAAAGGGATACAGCGCTAATAAAGTCAGTAAGGGAAAAAAACAGTTGCTTCCCCATTGCTTCACTTTTGGATTATCCTTGCCCGACCACAAGGCACTAGATTTTCAGCCAACATAAACTAGAATTAAAGGGCAATTCAAGAGATCCAAGCAGAAGCGAATTTTTTTTTTTTTTTTTTCAAAAAACACACCCAAATAAGCAGTTTTATCCTCTTGTGAGATTTCAAGTAGAGGGAACTGCCAATTCAAGGTCCTTCCTTCAAGCACAGACGAGCTTGTATTCCAAATGTGTGCAAATCCTGTGAATGTCTTAATCAGTCTTGCTATCTGTTATTTTACTGTTCTCCAAGTTCTTGGGCTTCAAAGGAAGCCAGACATGAGTGGGATGAGGAACAAGGCGAGGCAAAATTGTCAGGTTTAATCACATCTGCATTTCAAATGAGAAGCACAGCATGGAAACTCCCAAGTGAACAGGACTACATGACACAGCAGTATTTTTAAGATGCAGTTGCTTGAGCCTGGAACCTAACTAGCATCCATCATTGCCTTGGAGAGGGGCAGCCTGCTATTCTTACACAGCCATGCTATCGACTAATCAAAGCAGCCATAATACAAATTCATTTTAAAAATGTCTATAACAGAAGTTTTAGTGTTCACTTACACCTGACAGCATCGTTACATATTTTGCTGCTCTTAAACACTTTACTTACCACTCCTATACCCTTTTCCCTCACCCATAAATTAATCCCTGCTTTGCAGTTAAGCCTACAAATCTGTTCTGTCATGTCTGTCTTCCCTATTAACCACTACTATTCCTGAACCTCCTTTGTCTGAACCCATTCCCTCCAGCTGCTTTCAGATGGCAGAGAGCTGGGGCATCTCCACACCCTAATCCTGCTGACTGTTGTGTGGGGAAATGCTGAGGTCTCTCATGCCAGTCTGGTCACCTCTCCAGGACCATCTTTTTTGCAGCTGAGAACTGGGAGAATGTACGGAAATACAGCAAGATTTTCCCCCAAAACACCTCAGGTGTCAGTAGACTTGCCCGTGTAACATATGCCTCTGACAGCAGCAATTGGGTATACTCACTAGCTGATGCAGTTTTGCTAAATCTATCCTTCACGCCACCTCCCATATGCTCCTTTCACATAATGGAAAATTACACAATGATTTGTCCTTAAATTTCTGGCAATCGTTGCTCCACACAGCACCTAAGTTCCCAGCACGTGTCTTGGAAGTATCAGAAGGATCTTAACTGACATGCTGGAGAAGGAAAGATTGCAGGTGTGCCTTAAAACCAGAACAATATCATTGAACCAGTCACAAATTGAAGCACTCCTTACATTTTCATGTGTGAGTCAGTATTCATCAATGTTTAGTAAAAATGGCACAAAGGTCAGCAATCCACATATCAAGTGCACGTAATAAACAAAGTGATACTATAACTATTAGCAATAATTGCACGTAAGGAAACTGTTATTTGCAAATATCAGGGCAAAGTATGTTAGCTTTGTGACATCAGGACTTTATGGTTATGAAAATAAACATTTTTCAAGTTGAATATATATTGTGTATTGGTACTACTACCAAGTCTACTTGAAATAACAGCTAAAAGAAAAAAAGAAAAAAGTTGTCTCTAGTTTCCAAGTAAAGAAAGGTTGCCATAGCCAGTGGGGGCCGGTTAGCTCAGTGGTTTGAGCGTGGTGCTGACAACAAGGACCAACACTGAGGTCGTAGGTTCGATTCTCGCTCGGTCCCAATGTGTTGCTAGGTCTAGTCGAGAGGTGGCGTCCCTGGCCATAACAGGGAGGTTGGACTAGAGGATCTCTAAGGTCCCTTCCAGCCTGTGCCATTCTGTGATTCTATGAAGTCTTGGGCTTACTATGGGATCATATGTTTTATCTAAGCAAGTCAAAATAAATATTAGTTGAAGCACTCTAAACTTTTTACAATTTATGTTTCTTTTCCATTTTTAAATATACATCAAATTGAGTAATATAAGATTAAATCACAGAAAAGGCAAAGTGCTATAAAATACATTAACCAAGGCAGTGGACCGAGTTTCATTCTAATGAAGTGGTCAGAAGTACATTATTCATCACTGTATTTTAAAAGTCAGAGGTACTTTATCTCTTCTGATTTGAATAATTTCTGTGAAACAAAAAAGCTTTCAGACAGACAGGTGTGTCAAGTTCCGTGTACTGTAGAAAGTTTTCTGAACATAAAAACTGGTTTGGTGTTAATCTTCTCCAGAACTGAAAATCAGAATTTCTATGAAAATGTGTCATGTTTAAAGACAGTAAAAATTAAAGACATTTATGTAAAATATAAACTCCTTCCCTGTTGCCTTCAAAATTAGTTCAATTAAGAAGGACTGAAAAGAAATAATGTAAGAAAAATGTGCTAATAAGCCTCAGTTTAGACAGTGAGTCTGAAAGAACTACCATTGCCTTCAACAACCCCAATATAGTCCTGTAGCCACAAACACTTCCCAGGCACACCCAAGGGATATCAGAAAACTCCAGAACTGTACAGTGCTTACCGTCTTTAAATCTTCACAACTACACAAACCTTTACACAAACCTTCCTCACATATTCCCCAAAGGACATGCTCAGTACTTAGTCCTCATGATAACAGGTACCAAAAGTTCATAAGCCACAAGAAGTTGTGACAATTCAGTTCCCCGGCCCACAAACTGCAGATCAGTTACGGAGGAGGAAAAAGGCATCTTGAATAACCAGAGATATAGGCTAAAATTTCAAGTATTTGCAGAACTATAGCCAAACCATTATTCCCTCTGTGGATGAAGCACAGATACCGGATCATCGTGTTACCTTAGAAGCCCTGTTATCCTGCTTTTTCTCTTTCATACAAATAAATAATTAAATCTGCAAAATCAGTTAGACTGCTGTATTATTGCAAATGGCACAGTTTAATTTCTCTCCCAATGTCCACAATCATGCTTGGTATAATGTGTGTGGAAATATCCAACACAAATATGACAACATTATCTTTTGGTTCTGTTGGATTTACTGGGTAGCTGTTAGCAGACCAAAAGCATTTGATAAAGGAATCACAGTGTGAAAAGTAGGCCCAAATACTAAGAGATAGTGTTACTTAAGCTATTCATACTCCCAGACATGAGTCTACTCAGATAAAGGAACTGGTTATTTTTTCAAAAACCAAAAGCCAAAGGGAGAAGCTCAAAATATTTCGGGATCCTAAATCAGGATGACAGATTTTGGCAGGCTTAAAAGCAGAGGAAATGAACAGGATGAAGGGATCTATCTAGGCAGCATCCACAAGACATATCAGTAACACGCTTCAAGCAAAGATGACTGCAAGAGGGTAAGACGAAATGTGCTAATACTTGAAAGAATACCCCCTGCTAAGCACACTGCAGTCCAGAGGCCTCCTCCTCAGGACAGACTTTACTAGCCCTATTATGCCTTGAAGGAGCAATCATCTCAACCTTCCTTTCCC